CAAACGAGATTCACAACAAAAAACCATCACCAGATTTTGGCGAAAAGCAAAGATGCAGTAAAACACGAAGATGAAAGCCTACTGGCCTGTTGCTTCTATCATTGGCTATGAGAAGGCTGCAGTTCTCATAACTGGGTGTCAACGTCTTGAGCCTTTTGTTTTTGCTAACGTGTGACAAGAAATGGCCTTCAACTGCTCTCTTTAAGCCAAATGTTTCATGCCCGACAAGGACAACTTTCCAAAGCAAACGGCGGAAATGGAGCGATGTGCACTTTGAACTGCAGATTCTAAGTTTGCCTCGAGTGCGATGTTCTGAAAAGCCTTATAGCCTCAAGTATACATCAGCTAGCGAGTTATGTTCGATTTGGTAAAAGCGGTCGTCAGTAACCTCGGAAATCCTTCACTTGCCCACTTGAGAGCTCTGAGCTGGTAGGCGGCTGACGGCGAGCAGCGCATATATTGTCTCAACGGATGTAAAGCTTGTACCAAATCCCAAGGCTATCGAAGACAGCGAGGCCTTAAGAGACGAAAAGAGAGATGCCCAATCAGTCAGTGACGCGGAAAGGCACTCAATTCCGAGGGAAGAACCTGCTACATGTGAAAGTGAGGTGTTGGTGCATTGCATCGCAGGCAATATACGTCTATGAGCACAGATGTCTGAAGTGAGACTGTGATGTGATTAACTCATCGTCAAGTTCGTTGAGAATAGCCTTCTATTGTACTGTAGGGCGCTTTGGAAAGAACCGGACGCATACACTCTGTTCCTCTTCGACCTAGTCAGCGTCGCTGGCACGAACTGTTGTCTTGGCAACATGCTGTTGCATACTCGTATACACTAGCATTGGGTCACCCACTTAAGTATCAGAATTTAGTCTTAACCACTTTACTAGAGGTATTATTCATACGCAGAGGGGGCGCAATAGATAGGCGCATGCGCCCACGACATAAATACAGCGACCGACTTCTAGTAAAGCAGGATATCACTCTTACCCCCAGCATTCTCCCATTTCTTGAAGGCATCCATGACCAGCCCTGCCGTCTTGCTAGCATAATCCGGGCCCGGTTGCGCCGGAGGCTCAACTGCCGGATCACCCGTGATCCACGCAACAGGTGCGCTCTCCGTCCCACTGCACAGACCATTGAGCTCCTTTACCTGCTCCTGGTTGTACCTGCGGCCGAAAATGACTGCTCGCGGCGTCTTGCTGTAATCGTGCGTTCCAATATCATTGTCGCTAGGTGTTTTGGGGCCCTTTCCAGCGAGGATGCTCGGCAAGTTCTCTTGCGCTTTCGGAAAAGAGTCCATGAATTGAATTACTGTTGTTGGTTTGATTAGTCTTGATATATTATCTTGCGTGATAGGTGTTCGGAGAAGTCGAACCTTCAAAGTGAGACTTGAAAGACTCCGTGACTTTTCTCCCGACTTCCTGAGATGCGCCGATTAAGATGATAGGGATCGGTTTGGTCGCCATGGCTGCTGCTGTTGAGATACCCCGTAAGACAACAAAAGGAGCTCTCATGTAAATTGCAGCTGTGGTTAAGGGAGAGGTTCAAGTATGTGAGACAGATGGCCACTTCAGTTGAGAATATGAGGCGTTAGTGATGCTTCGTAGTACTCACTCGTATTATCGATGACTTTATAGTCAGCAGCTAGCACGCTAAGACATCACCACCCTTGAAGTCTCCCGCCGCTAGATGTGGAGTCCACTCAGGTGGCATCGTCAGATCAGTGTCATCTATTTCTATTTTCGCCTGTTATTCAAAGGCTAAGTACGGGGCCCAAACTATGCCTACGTTGTCTTTTTTGATGATTCCTCATTGCAAACAATAGCGAGTCTCCAGATCTTCCACAATCAAGGGTATCGAAGCCAATCACGGCGATTACTGGACATCGCGGGGAGACAGGGCTAAAACCAGCTCCTCCTTCGGGCATCATTGGCCAATCACGGCGATTGCTGTTCCCATCCCTGGTTTTGCTCCCGATACTTAATGGAATTCGTTAAACGTTTATGGTGAACCTTGACATATGAAAAGACCGGGACATTCACACAGAAAACAAGATAAACACAGGAAGATATCGCATTACCATAGCCCCTCGAGACCCTTCTGGTCCTTGGCATCTCGTAAACCCTTGTAATCACTTACTGACTTCAGAGCAGGTGAGACACACTGCCTCGCCTACTAGACATCGGAGATAAGTAATGTCCAAGGGCCGAAGTGAGGATTCCAATCCTCCAACTCAGTCACTCCCGGGCCAAGTGGCTCGACTCTCGAGTGAGTATTGATACCGAGGGAGCTAGCTACCTAAGCATGCGGTCTGCCGATGGAAAAATAATACTAAGATACCAAAATAAGCGTGTTCTTTTGGTCACGTAGATCTGCTTGCGTGAGAGCTAAATCCGATCACACTTAGATGTGTAAGAACACAGTCAGCCTCCTTGGTTCTCCCTACCCACGCCGTAATCTACCTTATTGACAGTCCTAGAGATGCCCAAAGACCAACGGAATCAGAGCGTTCATCTACGTACAGCATGTGATCCGTGCTCATCGGCTAAAGTGCGCTGCGATAAGCAGCATCCATCCTGCGACCGGTGCATGCAACTCAGTCAGCCATGCTCCTACAGCCAATCGCGCAGACATGGGAAACGCTTGTGGCGCCGGATGGTAACGGGCACGAGGCCGGGAGGTCACGCACCGGTGACTGAAGGTCCGGATGATTCGTCGGCAGTCGTATCTTCCGGTTCCGGCCCCGGTCCGACTCGGACTGTTATTTCTTCTTCGTTGATCGCCCCATCAGGTCCGCTACCTGTGGCCGGCCATGAACACGATCTCGCGTTGAACTACATGCAGCAGGATGTAGATCCGACGTCAGCATTCCCAGCCTCATGGCTTTCTGGAGACAGCGGACTGCATGCCGAAATTGACATCGGCCTATACAACGATTGGGATATTACCAATCTGACACCTCCCGATCTCGTTCCCTCTCTTGAGCCCAGTCAATACACATCCAACACAACAACGGACGAGGCATCTCCCCCATCAAGCACCACAACCAGCCCGCACGACTGCGAGGCTCAAGCCATTGCCATTCTGCGCTCAATGCAACATGGGAGCATATACGACGGGCTTACGTCATGTTCCATCAACCCGGTGCAATACGCCGAGCTGAACCTCCGGCCGGCCTTCGACCGCGTCCTCGCCACGAACAAGGCGGCACTCTACGGTTGCGCTAGGCTGATGAAATGCACATGTGCTCTGTGTCCTCATATTCTGCTGCTGCATGCGTCGATCCTGACCAAGATGTTCTTCTGGTACCGCGTAGCCGCCACGGAGAAGATAGAGCCTCAAAAAGACACGAGCCAGACCCCGCCGGACGACCCTCCCACACCTAATCAATTCAGTGTCGAGCCCACAGGGATCCAAGTTGGAGTTCTGGATCTGGATCCCGAAGACCAATTTGACTTGCGCCGTGCGCTCTTACTTCGCGAGTTGCGCAAGGCCGAGAGCGTCATCGATGGGCTCATGAATGTAGACCGCACGGCTTTAGATAAGGATGGGAACGAGGGGATGAAGAGCTCTGTAGATTGGTCACTTGGGGGCATTGCACGTGTCAAGAAGGACTTTCAAGACCTCATCAAAGAACTAGACAAATCCCCATGATACTAGCAGCATGCATGCAACTACTGGATACTACATATGCTCAAAGCAACACTCGTCTCAGCTAGGGCAATACCTGAATCACTAGAACGTCGTAGATGCAGACGTCAGTTGCGCGAGTGTCAAGTCATAAATTGGCATCCATTAGCAATATCTTTCAAATACCAAACACAGCTTCAAAATCCCTAGAAGCAGCAGCGAAGGTTTGTTTCAATTCATCAGCGCCAGCAAGATTTTCTCGTCAGTCCGGAGTGCATATGGCTGAGGAAGCCTTGGCCTTTGGTAATTGGAGACGATGCGGCGACGGCAGCGGATATATGGTGAAGCTGATCGCCAACCAAATTGTAGCCAGGACATGATCGCATGGAATCAGGCCTCCTCGGCCTTGGGGGATAGATTGCGATGGGATAGGTCGTAGATGACATGCTCCACCTTCTTGTCATGGTACTTCAAAGTTCACAGCATCGACACCCTTCCACATGATGTTGCTCTGAAGGTTGAGCAGCTGGAAACCTGCGCACAGGTAACCCCGTTGACCAATATCCAGTGTCATGTCCAATAATAACCATATCACCATCGACATTGAACCCACTTGCGAAATATATAACGAAGCAGTAAATCAAGGCACGGAGAAGAAACCCCAAATCGGAAGCTCATGTAGCGTCAACTGCAGCAAAAGGTCTCAGTCCATTGTGTATTGCACGGGGATGACGAGGATGTGCCGCGAGTCGTCCGTACTTCAAAGTAATGCTCCGGTGCACTACCAAGATGTCAAGCGAGGCGCTTCAGTCCATCAGAAGACGTTGGTGACGGGGTTTCCATGAATTTTTCCAAATGCGATGCTCTGGATTTGGTGTCAGTTAGACCTTGTAACATCTGCTGCATAAGCCGATTTACCTAGGAGACGCATCTCCGTAAATATCCTCCTTCCCCGACGATTCGACTTCGCTCGGCTGTTATTGCTGCTCCCTTCTAGTCCATCTCTGTGGCAAGTTTCCTTGTTTGTATAGTATAACCAAGCTATTTCAAGTGTCTTAGTGATCGAAACTTCCATGCTCTGACATGTTGGTAAGGGCCAAGGCGACTTATAGCAATGCCAGGCGCCACCAACCACAAACAATGACAGGCTTCTACAAACACCACATGCAATTCGGTTGGATCATCGCGAGCTAACTCAAGTTTAAGCAGTCGCTAGATGACCCCATTTTGCATCCTGATAATGATTTTCCTTCTAGAAGAATGGGTAGGCTCGCGACTTTATAAAACAGTCTATTAGCCGAGTAATACAATATATGAATCTAATACCAGCTGCCAAAACACAACCGAGTCGTAATCATGGTAAATAGGTCTTCGTGGCTCAGTTGGCTAGAGCGTTGGTCTCATATTCGTATGACTCAGTACTATACTGGGATATCCAAAGGTCGTGAGTTCGAGCCTCACCGAGGACACCATTTTTCCATCTATCTTCAACTTTTTGCTTGATCCGATGATCAGAATACCCGTGCTTCACAGGGATTTCTTGCTATAGAAAGAATTATTACAGATGGGCATGTTTATTTTGAGTTGTGTAGCATGTGGGTTATGCTGCTAACAAGATGCAGCTGGCTTTGCTTTGGTTATTTCTTCTTGCTTAGTTAGGTATTCCATGCAGGAAGGAGGGGTCTCTAGTATCACAACTTATTGATTGATCACATTGTTTGGCAAACTCTACTATTGAATAGGTAGCAAGATGATGAAAAGTCACGTTTCAATAAAGCAATGCGCATGTGGCGCTGGATGATAAGGAGAACATGTAGATCGTTAGAGCAGGTGGTAATTTAGGTAGGTAGTGTGATTGAGTGCTCTCTCTCTGTCCTACCTACATAGATTGCTGTGCTCAATTGACAGAACCAGACTGCGTGCCCAAGGGCTCTAGACGTATCTATCTTCGATTTGGCTCGATCACATGTCACGTAGGGAAAAAATTTGACTTCTTTGTGGTCTAGATCGATTCCGATGATTCACGCACCACATCAGCAAAGCCAGGTGTTGACTTTTTTGACGTCATGCCACCTTCCAATGCTGCAAAGCAGATTGGCGAACAACCGAGCCAGATCAGTGTTGTGATAGAGGCAGACAGATGCTTTCCCCAAAACCAGCCCGCTCTCCGAGATCTGGGGGGTCGGTCCTCCGCTACAAGACAGCCTTGAAAGTGCCGGTGCGACAATCACCCAGATGGTCTGACCTTCGACAAACAGGACCCCGCTCTCGTTTCCTCCTGTATCTTCCTTTTCCGAGCAGTTCAGGGCCTCGGGCTTTGGTGCCAATGGCTGTCCTCTAACGGGGTTATTGTGAACGTGTAATCTTGAGAATATCTTGACTCATTATGTTGGTATGTGAGACACCGAGGCAAGAACTCTTTCAACTCCTCTTGTGATGGCTGCTCTGCTGTCGATGGAGATTGCGCCCTTGTTGTCTCCGCTGTCCAGCAGCATCCGGCGCTCGATCTTCAGCTTTCTATGTCGGGACCTGGACTTTCTGCAGCGCCTTCTCAGAGGCTCGATCGAAGTCAAAGAGTTTCTGTTGGAAACATAATATGTCGTTGTTCCCCATACTCGATGCTTATATCCCGATATACAACAAACACTCCGCTGTATAGGTGTCCAGGTGTCGTAGGCTTGGCCGCAAGCCGCTAATATGTAAGGCATCACACCTCTCTTCTTGTTTGGAGTCTTTGCCGGCCCCTCGCAAAACAGGCCGCTCACTGATTTCCAGCATGTCTCCCATCTTAAGAGTTGCCAGGCACTGGTCGAGAAATCAAAAGATGAGATAAAGAGTAGACATTCGCATTCATTGACTAAATAAAAAGTAGAGTATAGGGGCATAAGCAAAGCATCAAGACCCTTCAACAGCTGATGCCGTTGTGATTTCCCCACAACTTGGATGACCCATGTGCCCGTTAATTCTTCAATATACGAGTTATTAGGAGCTTGACCTTACTGCTCTCCCAGGAAACCTCTTGTTTACCACCTATTTCTCCTCCCCGTCCCAAGGGCAAAATGTCATGTCTTGAAAATCAGAGCGAGAAACATCACGGTCCTGTGGGATCTCGTAGTGATAGAAATAGCGCTGCGGTGGGAGCTCGTACGGTCCCCTCCCAAAGAACCACCGACAAGTACGGCTAATGGACCGCTTCGAAGCGCGCTGTGGCCCAAGCCACCATCTCAAAGGAGGGCCGTATTCCAAGAACATCAGTCTTCGCATGAGGTCCAACCCCTCACCAGGTTCAATAAGACACTGCAATGGATAGGAGAGGAGGTCTTCTTCTACCTGCTTGGACGTCTCTATCTTTGGGAATACCTTAGAGCTGAGAGGGGTATGACCAGCATCATAATCCTCGCATTTCAACCCATCATCCTTCGTGAACCACATGATTTGTCGATCCTCGAGCAGCCATTGGAACTGGCAGTGTGTGACTGGAGCTTCCGGACTGTTGATGTATTTGAAGACCGATCTCAGGGCTATGTGGTAGAACTCGTCGACTAATGTAGAGTCGACGTCAGCTCCGGTGACGAGCATGACATGGTCCATTTCCAACATCTTTGTGTTGGTTCTCCCAATGAATTTGATGAGGTCGCTGTCCGAGGTAATGATACCACGCAGTGAGGACTGCGCGAGAGTGAGGGATTGCGAGTCGGTAGCGCTGGCCTGGGGGCCTGTGGGTTTTTCTGGTGGATCTTTTCCAAGTCTTCCTATGTTACGCCAGCGGAGGTCGAGGTTCTCGAGTTGTGGCATCACAGTCGACAAGCCTGGGATCTCCTGTAGAAGCATTCCGACATGCCGAGTCTCTCGCTTGCGATTTTGGGGAGTGATATCGGCGCCCAAAGGGCCGTTCGGGTCATCAGGATCTGGGTCGAAAGGTTCGCTCAAAAGACATTGCTTCGTGATGCTCATTTTGCGTGGGTTCGACGATAGGTTGACGGATAGTTTTTTCAAATTCTGAAAAATACCCGAGCAACTATCTTGTTGAGAACGTTGTGTGAGGCGCAGAAAAGCTTTGTATTGTAGACTGTAGCTTCGCCCATCAGTGAACAAGTCGATATGATCACTAACGCAGAGACCGGACTGAGTGAGCGCCGACATGGTAACAATGAAAGTTTGCCGCGCCATGTCGAAGGGATGCCACCACAGCCGGCGTGGGATGTCATTACGAAACATGACGCGAAGAGTGAGCGATGGAATGCAGCCGGTTTCGGATTGTTCCTTGAAGTTGGTGAACAATTCAGTCAGGAGTTTGATCAATTCTGGGGCTCGAGCTGGCTTGCGAACTCCAACGAGGCCTGTGATGGTGATGTGCTTTTGGTGACGTAGCAGATAACTCTTGCTTGCGCTCAGCTGGACCAAATCCTCTAATCTTTTCCTATCCAACTTGATGATCAGGGGATTGAATTTCTGAGCAAATTCACCATATGAAGCCTTCAATGCCAAGGTGTGACTCGTTAGGCGCAAGGCGGCAAGGCTCTTGGACGGGAGACGCTTGACAATCATGTGGATGAGTTCGAGAGGCAGGGATTCCAGATGTGATGCCATGGTGTCGATATTCACAAGTGGATGATGTGGATTCAATATATGAAGATGGTACGGTATGATATATGTATAAGAAAGGGATATAGGTCCAAGTTTCTGCTGTGTTGGGAACCTGGCGTGCAATGTTGGATGTGAAGATGAAGGAGACTATGAAGAGAATAGAGGATAGAGGATAGAGAATAAGAAAATGAAATGGACTAGAAGGATGAGTGCCTGTTGCTTTGAAAACCCGGTGTGTATGTGCAATGTTCACCTAGGTAGGTTTGAGGAAGAAGAAAACTAAAAGAAGATGATGAAGATGAGGAGGAAAGATACCGAGAGCAGGAACAGAGGCTCACAGCGCCCGGAGGATGCAGGGCAATATATATCAGAGATCCAGAGCCCAGATCACTGAGATCAGGCACGGCCCACGTACCATGTGCGGCATCTTTGCTCCTCTGCTTGACCTAGGACAGAGTCATCTAGGTACCGAAGCTTAGATCACGCTCAAGCACTCTGTAGTGTACAAGGCCACATACATTCTCGTTTTCTGATTGGCTTAGCGTGCCAAACGACTTTGTGCTTGGTCACGGCCCAGTGGCAATCATTCACCACGCAATCACAATAAGCTACCATGGTTTGTATTTGCTTCCACGGGAGTCTGTGCTTGATCTGCCCAGCTCACATGAATCTGTAGTTACCCATTTGTCACAGTTACGTTAGGAGAACAGTCGAGAGGTAAGGTTGAGAGGCAAGGTCCAGGAAAATGCTACCAGTTTGATATCCCCCTCTTAGGCATTCACACAAGTACGGACCCAATGAGGAGGGACAAGAAGAACTTTGGTACAGAGGGCTTGTTTGTCCCAACCTGCCCATTAGAGGTGATTTGTTGCAGGCTTTGGGCAAGAGTGGAAGCTCACAGATGAAATTTTACCAAAAAGAATCAGTGGAATACCGAGGTGGCAGAATCAATCCCGATGTACCTAGAAGAAGGAGAATCAAGGCAAAGAGGTATCTACGTACCTTCCTTTAACCAACGTTGCCATGCCACTAGAAATAGACCAATAAGGAAACAATCAAGTAGGTAGGCAAGACGGCCCTGGGTTCTCTGATCCAATAAGACCACGGCCGTTCCAAGAAGCGTATAGTCCCTTTCATCAAGGCCTACCTACCTACTACACCTTTTGCTTCCTTACCTACTACCTACTTACCTACCACCTACAAAGATGTGCCAGGGCTTCAAGTAGCATGGGTGGCATGATCCGTCCTGGGCCATATGCTTCCTGTTGTGCAATCAGTCAGTTCTAGGCTTTCACATACTTGTGCCTCATCCTGCCCAACCAGTACAAGCGGTCCGATCAGCAAGGTAAACTTTTGTAATAGGATCAGGGCTTACAAGCAGGTCGGTCCGGTCCACGGACCGTGCACGCTCCATCAAGTTTGTGTCCGCCACTGCCACCTACACTGCAGGAAAGGAGAGCCGGCAACTGCAAGACTCTTTGGTAAGTAGGTAGGTAGGTACCACAGCTATGCCACTTTGTGGAGGCCAACATCACATCAAGAGCATCTAGATTCAAATGCTATATCGTAACAGATATCCAAACAATCGTGACTCATTATGCAGGATGATATCGCAGGCAAGCTCAGTGGCAAGTACCCAAAGATTCTCTGCCGCCCTCCAAGATCCTGCAAACACTCATCGTATCATGGCTTCGTGCATCTCGCTTTCGTAATTGCTGGAATATCAGAGGTAAAATCTTGCCACCCGATCCTCCATCCTAGCCCATGCTCTGACTGTAGCCGTAGCTCAGTTGAAAGGCTTTCTGCCGTAGACGCATTCAATAAGGAAGTACGGCTGCATGCGCCGATCGCGCATCTCTCTGCGCACACGGGCCAGAAACAC